CAATCAGAGGTGCAAGATTCCCCTGACCACCACACTCGACTCACTCTCTCCTTACTGATTCCTTATCTCCTCTTGGCAACCCAGTCAACTGCTGAGGCTGGCCCCTGGCTAGGAAGCCTGGTGAGTGTGGAAGGAGATAGAACATAGGAAAGGAAATGTCTCACAAAGACAGCAGGCATATCGTGGAGTGATAAGATATGGAAGGGGGTATGAGGGCCTGGGTAGGAACATGTATACATTTAGACAGGGGATTGTCACCTGAAGTGAACCAGAGAGCGAGAGTGACACAAGGCTACACTCCATGACTGTAATGGGTCTAGTACTGTAGAAAGGGGAGAAGCTGAAGTCAGAAGACCACCCAGGGTCTAAGGACTGAGGTAAAGAATTGGCAGTAGAGGGGCAGCTGTGGGCTCAGCTACAGAGATTCTCAGGAAGGTAAGAATCAACAAGGTGGCTGAATAATATTGAAGGTGAATATGAAAGGAGAGAGAAAGAGGGGGGGGGAAGCGAGCCTTAGAATATTGGCTTTGAGCTAAGCAACCTGGGTAGAGATCATTGTAGCAACTGGAAATGAAGAAAGAAACATTGAGAGAGGTGAAAACATTTTGAAATAATAATAGTTGATTTTAGATGAAATTGCAGTTATTGTAGACGGAGAAGAAAGTCTTTGACAGAATATGTAGAAAACTTGCATGGGGAGAATGGAAAATAGCAGCAGCCAGCAGAGGTGAGAGGTCAGCTGAAGAAACAGAGGAACCAGAGTCACAAGTGATCGTGTGCACATGGCTCAGCAGTCAGGTTTAGCCACTGCATCATAGCTGTTGTAATACCACGTTTATACTATATCAGATTGGTGATAAAGTGAGGAACTTCATTTCCTTTCACAGGTCAAGAGATATAGAGTATTTTAGAATATGTTGCTTTTAGATATACAGCCACCCAACAATCTTGAAGTTAACTCAATATATAATTTTTGGTTATTATTTTTGGTAATCTTTCTTCTGAGTGACAAATCTACAAACATTTATCAGAATAATCAACATATTCTCCTTCTCATAAGTCAGAAGAGCAGCCAAGATAAAATAGAAATTTTTGTTACTAAAACATGATTCTGGTAGGCATGACAGTCCAAAGAAAAGAGAAAAAACCCTCTCTTTTGTGACAGAGAAGCCTTTTGGAGGGCACTGTTGGAGCCTACTGGCTAAGTATTTGATATTACTTTCTTTTTTTTTTCTTTGTGGGGAGCTAGGGAATGAATCTATACCCTCGACCAATCAACTATATCCCAGCTTTTGAGTTTTGAAGAATGAGACACTACCATAATAAAAGAACCAAAGTTATATTGAAAAGCAAACCTTTTCCTGCCAATGTAAAATGGCAATTATTGCCAGGATGAAAATGCAGACTCCAATGAGGGCCACCGCAGTCAGCAGCACAATGTTACTTGGTGTCAGGTATAATTTGGCACTCCAGCTGTAGATAAAAAAGAACAATTAAAAGTGTAAATTTTAACATGATAACAAGATTAAATTGAGATCAGAGAGCAAAGCAGCTTATAAAAGTTCATTTGTTAAACCATTCACTCATCTAACAAAAGCAATTAATTTAGATAAGTTGAAGAATATTGATGATCTTAAAGTGCATGGTTTTCTTAAAGCTGAACTAAATTTTCCTTTTTCATGTATGGTTTTTAGAATTAAACTCAAGGCCTCATGTGTGCAGGGCTAACACTTTTCAAGAGAAGGATACGTACATCTTTCTGAAGTAGAATTGTTGATATTTAATATGCATTTATATTTGAGTTTGATCTTTGGAATTAAGTAAACTTACCAATAGTACTTTAGACAAAGATGTCTTTGGAAAAAAAATTGATCTGTTGAATTTGAAACTTTCAACTCTAAAGGCTCTGTAAGTCACATGATTTCACTAAACTTATGTGACCTCTACCAATACATGTAGTACAAGTAAAGCAATCATATGTCTGAGTGGGTGTTTTTTGATAGTGGTGTAAAACTTGCACCATTTCTGTGTAATGATGGATGTTTTAAATTACTACAATAACTTGTATGATGAGACTTATAAAGTCACGTAGCCTCTCTGTTAATGTCAATGTATATACAATGTCACTATCATAATTAGGTCTTCTCTCTTAAAACACTAAATACAGTACAGCACCTGTAAACACTGCAAAGCCTAACTTTGGGGTTTTTATTGCTAACTCTGTGGGCAGTTATGCACACAGAGCTTTGTGTTCTACCTGCAAACAGGAAATGACTGTGTTCTCATTTAAAAAGATTAATAAGGGTAAGAACATTCTAATGAACAGCAAGTAGCTATTGATTTATTTTGACATAATTAAAATTTATTGATCCATGAGTTAGTCTTTAGTCACTAAATCTCAGAATATACCTCAAACAAAAATCAATTAGGGTTTTTATTATGTACATAAATTTGAAAAGGACATTTCTTTGTAATGAGCAAAAGAAACATGAAAAATATTCAGATTATAGAAGAAAGCTATGGCAGGACTTTTCAGAAATGCAGAATAAACCTTAAGAAAATGAGTGTTGTTAAGTACAATAGAAAACAAAACTTTTTTTTTTTTGTTGAGGCAGGGTCTTCTTATATAGCCCGATGTATCCTTGAGGTTGCCATCATCCTGCCTCAGCCTCCTGGGTACTGAAGTTACAAGTGTGAGCCACTATGCTTAGAATAGATTCAGTTTTTAATAAAAAAACACACACTCTCTCTCTCTGTCTTTCTCTCTCTCTCTCTGTCTCTGTCTCTCTGTCTCTCTCTGTGTGTGTGTGTGTGTGTGTGTGTGTGTGTGTGTGTGTGTGTGTGATGCACATACTTGTACATATGGGTGCCTATGGAGGTGGGAAGAGGACCTCGGATTCCCTGGAGCTGGAATTACAGGCGGTTGTGAGTCACCTGATGTGGGCTCTGGGAAATGAACTCAGGTCCTCTGCAAAAGCAGCAAGTGCTCTTTATCATGGATCCATCTCTTTAGCCCATAAATCTGTTTTTATTTTTTTCTCTTGAGGTTTTTTAGTTCTATTTTTTAAATAGATTTTTTTCAAAGCTCAAGATATTTGTCATTTTGGTTAAAAGAAAATACAACATCAATCTTCAGTTGCCTACTTAAGAGATTTTATGTATATTCTGTCAGAGATATACATATATAAACATATACATACAGATATCTTACAGATACCTTCTTTTAAGTAAGTTTATATATATAATATATATGAACTAAATATATATATATGTATGTATGTATATGTATATTATATATTATCCATTCTGCTTGTTTCCTTTCTCTTCCTCCCTATTATATACTGTTCTATGTTCATGGTAGTAAACATAAAGGAGTCAGTACAGTACACTCTGTCAGTGCTACATTTTTAGTTCTGTAGTTTCTCTGCTCCTCATCCAGATTTTATAGTTTGTTGTCAACATAATCTGGAAAAAGGTATCACAGATATATTAACACTGCATCATTAAAAACCAAACCAAACCAAACCAACCAACCAACCAACCAACTAACCAACCAACCAACCAACCAACCAACCAATCAAATAAATCAGGGATAGGCATGGTAGTTCCAGGTACTCAGGAGGCTGAAGAAAGAGATTTGCTAGAGCCTAGACAGTTTGTTGGGATGATTATAAAAACAAAACAAAGCTTCAACCCAATCCAACCATCCATCAGGCAGGTAGCTGTTTTTAATAATGCTATCTTACACATACAGTGAAGTGTTGGAGTTAGTTGTCTAGCAGGAAAGGTAATCCTAGTTTATGATATTTATTAGTTTTCATGGAGTAGATTCTCTCATAAGAATAGATTCTAATATGACTTTATAGAATAAAGATAGAAAAATGTGGACACAGTCAGCTCAAGAGATGCCATGGGTATTGGAGTACTATACAGTTCTAGTACATAGTTCTAGAGTACTACTGAATGCAGTCCATGTAAGGTTTTAATAAAAAAGGCCAGAGCTGAGAAAGGAGCTCACTGCTGGAATACCTGCTTGACATGCACAAGGAAATGGGTTCAATTCCCAGCATTGCAAAACAGTATTACTTAAAACTAATGAAAAGTAAACGTTTATAATCTGTACAGATTACTAATTAAGCTGCCCTTGGTCCTGATAGGAATGAATTTATTCCTTATGAAACATCAGGTAGGTGTGTTTAATAATTTAGAATTGACTAGGTAAATTAAGTGTTGGGCACTCAGGGTAGACAATAAATATGAAATGTTATCAAAACATGCCACTGGGTATCTACCAAATTGAGCTCAATCAAGGACAGCTATTACCTTCGAGGGACATTGTGAGGGTATGGAATGACAATCAGCTGGGAATTTGGAATGATTGCTGTCCACTCTTGTTTTCTTATAGACTGAAAAGAGAATTTAAGAACACTTAACAGACAATATATATATAAACCCCCAATTATTAGTCTAAATATGGAAAAATAACAAACCCTCAAGTATTTTGAGACTTTGAAATTCAAGGAAAGGAGTATTATATTTGTTTGTTATAAATCCATTCACCCAACAAATACTTACTGGACAGTTTTAGCAGGTATTATTCAAAGTGCTATGTGTGAATGCTGACTGGAGCTAAGATTCACGTCAGGAAATTGTGTGAGTACAATATACAAGAATGCTACTTTTTATGTTAACAGCTACTACTTCCGTTGTAAGTGATAAAAGCATTAAGAGAGAGCAGGTCAAAAAGGATAAGAAGTCATGAAGAAATGGAAAAACTATATAATATCAAATCATGGTACACTCTAAAATAAGCTTAGACAGGACACTATGAATCAGTTTTTAAATGATTTAATTGTTTAAATTATTTAAAGGCTACTTTATTAAATAGCTGAATTCAAATTCCATTATATTCAAATTATTAGATTTAAATGTTTAAGTGGTGTTAAAACAGATTGTAAACAAACTAAATGTTTACTTGCCTTCTCTCCAGATGGACGGGGAATACCAACAAAAAGATGATCCAGGAAATTGGCACTTCGGCCTAAACCAAGTACATTGTAAGGTAGCTGAAGAGCTAAGTGTGCTGACTGGCTGAGCTGTCCAGCTAGATTTATGAAGACAAACAAACAAACAAACAAACAAACAAATCTTTGGAAACACTGCATTCATCAAGTCTTAAAGTCCTAAGATGTTAGATACAGGTATAAAATATGGGATGAACATTCAGTTAATTAATATTAATGATTTACAAAAACAATTTTGAGATACAATTCCCATATCTGCTTATATAGTGAAATGGTTTTGAGACTATCCTAAGAGGTCACCTCAGTGAGTACAATGGAATTTTAGGACATTTTAATCACTTGAAAAACTCAATACCCAAGGATGGTCCTCTTGTCAGCAATGCTACACTTCCAGCTGAGGGTGGTATCTCTGATTTGCCTTTTGTCTTTTCTACCAATGTGCCTATCCCAACACCAGCATGAAGACATTATAGATGTTTGAGGTGTTAGATATGACAGTATCATCATTACACATTATATACATGTACTGAAATGTGACATTGTACCCAATAATATGTACAGTTAAATTCTGATGTATCAGTTCAATATAGTGTATACTTGTCCTATTTCATACTCATGCAAGGAATTATATGAAGGTTCAAAGTTCTTACATCCTAGTGAACACTTGCAGTCACCATCTTGCTGGCTGGGAGCAGCATCACTTAAGAGTTTAGTCTGTTTTATCCTATTGACAGTGTCCTTTGCCTTACAGAAGCTTTGCAGTTTCAGAGGTGTAGTTTGTTATCAGCATGGCAGGAAGCACATTGGCAATACAATGACAGATAATGAGCAATACAATTCAATTAATTAGTATCTTCCCCATTTTATGTATTTTTAAACTTATTTGATTACTTCATGTAACTACTATACTTTGCTTCTAATAAACTTACGATAAAGGTTAAAAATGAAGCTGACAGAGGATTATTTTGTTGTACTATCTCACCCTATTCTACTTACTTTTAAAGTTCAGTTTATAGGAAATGATTCTTTATATTGTGTTACCTCAGCTAACTACAGTAAAGAATGATCTCATCCCTATGTGTGCTGAGTGCTTCCTATTTTTCAGGTAGTGTCTGTGAGTTTCAACCTGTACTGTAGCACACAGTTGCTTTGCATGCTATGTCGACAATAGGCAAGTCCTGAACTACAACAACACAAAGGAATAAACCAGCAGTGTTACTGAGCAGTGTGAGAGGTAATCAGAGTTTTCACACTAAATATACTTACATAGTAGAGAAATTACTACTACAGAGTGTAGACAATAATGTATTGCTAGCAGAGACTCCAGAATAGATAACATTCCTCTTCTCACCTCCCATTCCCAAAGCAGTTATGTGACAGTTGTTCTTTCAGCATTAGACTCTGTATTGACTGTAACTATTTCACTAGAAGTCTGAAGGGTTGTTTTGGAAAATGGCAGATAACAAGCAGGCATGGCTTGCTAGAGTCTTCAGGGAATACACTGGGGAAAATTGGACAATGGCCATAAAAAGGTGAGCAATGGCCCTAAACCTCTACTTTAATAGCAAAGTAAGAGGAAATTTTACAAAGCAGAGCAAGGGAAAAACTTTAGTGTCCATCCTGGAGGGACTGATGCACTGGGGAGCTATCCTGCCTCTAGGCTATGCAGGAGAAACTCGGAATTAGCACTGCACACTGATATTCAGCAAGGTGGAAACCTGGTTGAAGTTAAGAGTCTGTAAGGCAATACAGACAGGTTTCAAGTGTCACTCCTGACATCCTGAAGAACTTCCCAGGGGTGGTACAGTATTCATGGGCAGACCAGAGGTATGTCTGGCCTATAAAAAAACTGCCCACTCATCGAATCAACAGCTGTGATCTGTCTTGACAAAGGACCGCTTAGGAGTGTGACAGGTATTATGGAGACAGAAAGAATTCTCAGAGTCAAGATTTGAACTGTAAAGCAGGCAAGAACTTCATGGTAGAGAGGATGAACATTTACAATAGCGAAGATACGAAACTATGAGTAGAACATTAAAGATCTATGGGAAACTGTAAAAGATCAAATATATGACTCACAGGCATACAAAGAGAATTTCATGCTAATGGCGTGGAAAACATCAAGTTACGGCCATCCCGCCCTCCAAGCCTTGTTATACTCTGATGGGAGAAACTGTTTTTCAATAAAATGATAGCAGATTTCCCAAATCCAAAGAGTAAAACCTCCCCACGTCATAGCTTAAATACTGTGTACAAATAACGGACATGTACTGAAAGCTGCCAGAGGAACAAGTAAATGAAGTATAAAGACAAACTCAGTGGAGGAACACTGAGTGTTCTCAGTGGAGAAGAAACTCTGAAAGTCAGGAGGGCTTACTGAAGGAGCTGAAAGGGTTTGTGGCACCATGAGGAGAGCAACAATACCAACCAACCACAGCTCCCAGGGTCCTAACCACCACCCTGGGAGCACTTAGGGAGGGATCCAGGGCTTCAGCTGAATACGTAAGAGTGGAGGGCCCTGCAGGGCATAGGTGGAAGATGAGATCCTTGACCTCATGAAGGCTGGATGCCCCAGGGGGTGGGAATTTTGAGGGTGGGGAAGTGGGAGTGGGGGGGGGGTAGGTGGGGGTTACATCCACGGAGAAGAAGGAGGAGGGGTAAGGGGATGGGGAGTTCCCGGGTAGGTGGGGGATGGGGTAAGGGGACAACATATGAAATGTAAATAAAATATCCAATAAAAAAAAAAGAATTCTGAATTCCAAACTCTAAAAGACGACTGCAAACTCAGACTACTACACCCAACAAATAATGTCATAACTGAAGAGGAAACAACAGATGCTCTGCTGACGATGTGGGCAAAAGAGAATACTTAGCCTGTTGGTGGAAATGTAACTAGTCCAGCCACTGTGGAAATTAGTATGGAGGCCCTCAAAAAACTAAAACTACAATATAGCCTGGGTCTAGCACTCCTGTGCATTTATTTACACAAGGAACGATAAGTCAATACATCACAGAGGTGCTTACTGCATATAAATGTTTACTACAGGTCTTTCCACACAAGCTAAACTATGGAACCAACTCAAATTTCCCACAACAGAGGGAATGGATAAGAAAATATGCTATTTATATACAACGGAATTTCTTCCAGCCATGGAGTTAACTTGTAGTCAAATGGAAATAAGTGGCGATAATCTTATCACAGGAAGTAAGCCTGTCTGAGAAAGACAACTATCCCACATTTTCTTTCATTTTAGGTCATGAAAGCAGAAGCAGTCCCAATAGGGGAATCATATGGAGAGTGATGGGGAGTACAACAGGAAGCTGCTCAGCGTGCCTCTGTATTTGTGAGCATATCCTCCTTGTAACACAGTGTTAGGTATGGTGATTTGTGATCCTGGTTTGCACTGCACATGGTACTTTCTAGGCAGCACACCAGGAATGTTCTCGTTATGGCAGTGCTTGTGCTGTTAGTATCTAAATACTTCATTTTAGCTGGGGGGCAGCCTCAAACTGTGCTCATACATTATACTTGAGACACTGCAGTCACATGTCCTTAGCTATTCCTCTACGTCTAGTTCTTATCACAGGTGCTCTCCTCTCTGCTCCCAGTAGATGTTCATTGTTGCATTGTCTCCATGTGTTGAAGAAGCACACACAGTAGAGGGCCAGCCAGCATAGCTATGGTAGCTCCACGACAAAAGCCCAGAAGAAATCAGAGCCTCTTTGTGAACAGGTATACAAAAAATATATAGCATATGATTTTTAAGAAAAATGTGGGATAACACAGGCCTTTAAGATATAGGTATATAGCTGTGATAAGTAGGAGATTTCTCATTTTAAAATTAATAACACAATCATGAGACAATAACCTTTTGATGGTGTGAAATGAATATTTTTTCAAATAGAAGTGGATTTAAGTTGCTAAAGTGTAGATTTGAGTTTCACTGATAATTTACCTGTGGAGATAAGTTTTGGGTTTGGAGCAACTGGTATGCCTGAGTTTACCAACACTGCCAAATAAATGAGTTTCAGAACATTTCACTTAGCAGTGAAACTGTTTGCATCTTAAGAAAGAACTTAAGGAATTAACAGACTATAAAAATACAGTATGTATGGAAATTAAGACTTAAATGATTTCTTTCTTATAGTGATATATCAAAATATTTGAATATAATATTCTTATCAGAATTTTCTTTAAAAATTTTAGAACAGTTTTGTTTACAGAATGCTTATATGTTGAATTTTTTTTTTTGATAGTGTTTCTCTGCATGGCCCTGGCTAACATGGAGCTCACTATGCAAACTAAGCTGATCTGGAACTCACAGGGATCCCCCTGCCTGCTTTTGCCCCCTGAATACTGAGATTAAAGGCATGTGCCATCATACCCAGCATAATGAATTCTTACATGTTTATAGTAAGCTAAAAAATAAACTCATTGTAGTACATTTAATTTACATAAGAGCATTATATACTACAAAACTGTCCACTAACATGGTCACAGGTTCTTTATGGTTATCACAGCAAGCCTGTTTAGACTACTTCGTGGGTAAGACTCTAGGATTTCCGAGGAAGGATATTGTATGAAGATGCATTCTTCGCACAGGCAGCTGGATCTACTGTAATCTGCCACTGGATGGACACTGCACACGTCCTTAGTCATTTTCCTTTTTGTCCTAACCGACTTTCGTCATAATGTTGGCTGCAATGTACAAGTAAATTGTACTTCTATGAACATATATCAAAAAACTCTTTCTAAATCTTGGACTTCTTATGTCACATTTGATAATATAGGATAGGTTTAGATTGTACTATTAATTGGATTTCCAGTTTTTACTTCTCCTAAAATGAGCTTAACTTCTATGACTAACCATTTCAACCTTTAAGATAACTTAAATTACCTCTCAGTTTCTGCTATTTCAGCTGAAAAATAAGGATACTGGGTTTGGCTCATCATAATAGTAATACATGAAGAAATAAATGTTAATATTTTTGTTCCAAAATCTCTTGAAAATTTTTTATGTATGTCTATAGAAAAGTGCAATAAAAGAAAATTTATTTATATTGTGATGTATGATGATTTTTGACAGCAGCTTGCCTTCCCAGTAGATTGAAGGAAGATGACTGACATGCTGTGGACATCCCACCTGGTCGGTCTTACCTGAGCCGTTTTTCAGATACCCATTTGCATCTACTGTTGTGTACATGATATAAGGTCCAGGCTGATTCACTCCAAAGGGCTGCAGGAAGAAAGGAAATAGTTGGTCTTGGGAAGTAAGTGAATGATTTGAATTTCACAATGATTTATTATATATGAAAATTTCATACATTTATACACAGTATTTTGATCATATGTAACTTGGTACTTGCCTCCTAGCTCCAAAACCACTTTCATGTCTTTTTTTTGAAATAGCCCAATAAGTCCAACTTTAGTGCTGACTACTTACACATGTGTGTGTGTGTGTTGGGGTGAGGGGGCGAATCTACCAGAATACAGGAAATCTACCAGTATCCTTATATAGTTATGTATATAAATATAAAACTTAAATAATTGTTAGCTACTTAAGAGAACATTTCCATAAATAGATCTAGTTCAAATTAAACATGGTTAGTAGAAAATTATTAAAATTACAATTATTTATTTGTGTGTATGTGTGTGTGTGTATGTGTGTGTATGTGTATGTGTGTGTATGTGTGTGTATAAGTATTTGGGAGCAACAGAAACTATGTGGAGATTAGAGGACAGCCTGCAGGAGTTGGTTCTGCTTTCTACCATGTGGATCCTGGAGACCAAACTAATGTCACCAGGCTTGGCTTTTAAACGCTAGGCTATCTCACCGGCCTCAGCGCATAATTTCCAACACCTTATATTACTTGATGGTTGCATTTATAAAGTTCAGAATTTTAACGAAGTATTTTAAAGATCTACAGTCTCTACTTTATAAAGGTAAATATTTTAAACAAACTTGTCTTTACTATTCTGGTTGCACCTAGAACTAAACTGCATGAGTTTTAGTCAAACTACTCTGAGTTTGACTATCAGTACCTAGAAAATCTCAGACCTCACCTCAAACATGACAACAGTTTTATTTCCACACTCCTTCCTTGTCTTCTTTCTTCTTTTTCTCTTTTTTGGATTTTTGAGACAGGGGCTCTCTACATAGCCCTGACTGTCCTGGAACTCACTATGTAGATCAGGTTGGCCTTGTACTTAGATCTGCCTGCCCTCACCTTCCAAGTGCTGTAACTAAAGGTATGTACCATCATACCTGCCCTGTTATATATATTGAATTGGACATATGCTACGATTTCTTAGTAATATAAATAAATGACAAAATTTGTTTATAATTACAATCAAGTGAAAATATTGACTTTTAGTTTTATCTTATATAATTGTTTATGCATTTAGAGATATTACTTTCCAGCCTTTCCTGAGAAACTTACAGAGCCTAATCAGATTGATAGTTTATCTCAATTCTATTTATAGAACTGTCATTAAACTTTAAATGATACATTTCCTCTCTTTGAAATCAACTCTAATTAAAAAGGATATAACCTGTAGATTGTAATGAACATCCTGTAAAAGGATAAGCACCTGAAAAATTTTTGCTTGAATAATTACCACAAAAATAAAATTTTAGTGATCTTAGAAAAACTGTCCTTCAAAAATGAAGGAGAAAGCTTGAGTAGGAGCTGGAATTAGTTGGTAGAGTGTTTGCCTACTATGCATATAGTCCTGGATTTGATTCCTGGCACCACACAAACAGCATGGTGGTGCATACCAGTAATCCTAGGTTACAGACAGTGGAGACTAGAAGATCAGAGGTTCAAGGTCAGCCTAAGTTCATGAGACATTATTGAGAGGGAAGGCAAGGGAGGGAAATGAGGAAGAGGAGGAGAAGGAAGAGGTGGAGGAGGAGGAGGAGGAGGAGGTAGTAGAGGAGTGAGTGAAGAGAAAGAGGAGAGAACAATGAAGAAGAAAGATGAAGGAGAGAGAGAGGAAGAGGGAGAGAAGGAGGAGGAAAAGGAGTAAGAGGAAGAGGAAGAGGAGGCAGAATTTCTCCTCTGTGTTTTAATCCCTGATACATCCTTTGCATTATTATGAATGTAGGTTCTACTGATGACAAATCAAGAATTTCTCAAGCACTTGACAATTACAGATTTGCTGAGAATCCGGCAGCACCATCTACTCCAAGAGATGCATCTTCTTCATTAATCTATTTTTAAAGTTTAAACCTACTGTTGACTCTGTGTATCTGTTCCTTAGCTTCTAGAAGTGCATTGGTATTGGCAGAGTGTAGTGATGCATTATTTAGGTTAGGCCTGCATTTAAGGGCTAAATACTTACTCCCTGTCCCAAGTGTTGGCCACTGCTAGTTCACAGCGGGATCCTTACTGGCAGCCCTTCTCAGCAAAAAGAAGTTGTGTCCCATGTCTGAGTGTAATATCTGAGTGACGTAGGTGTAGAGAAGCCCTGGCCCCTCTCCCTCAGTTGAGGCTGTGTGAAGAATCACTCAGCTTTAGGGCTCTCCATGCATTGTAAACCAACCTCTCCCCACTATTTCAGAGTCATTGTTCCCAAGTACAGTCAGGATGTCTCATCTATAGGAAGTTTCTCAACTACACATAAAAGTATTGGCATTGCAGTGCTTTAAATGTATTAAAAGGATTTAAGACTGTCATCAAAACACCTAATTTTGTGTTGAAAATTTTCACTGACTCCAAGACTTGGGAAACTTGAATTTCTCTGAGGCTTAGCCCTGCAAGCCTTAGACCTGAGTCAGACTCCTGTAATAGCTGGATGCAGTGCCTGCCTGTCTATCATCTATCTATCTATCTATCTATCTATCTATCTATCTATCTATCTATCTATCTATCTATCTATCTGTCATTCCAGTACTCCTTTGAGCAAGATGGGAGGTATAAGCATGTCGGCCAGGTAGCTGCAAGTGTGTGGCAGAGTGGCACACACAAGAGGCCAGCTCTCAAACCAGATGGGAAGGTGAGGACAAACTCTGGAGGCTGTCCTCGGACTTCCATATGTGCTTTCCCTCTCTCTGCACATATTCAGGAATGTGCTTGATTCTGTGTTCTCTGTCACTTATACAAAGATGAATAACACTGTTCTGTTCTTTAGGGTTGTGCTCTACTGTAGTCATCTAATCAAAAACACTAAGTGTGAAGCAAAGGTAGTGATCCTCATACACAAGTTTGGTCGTTGTTTTGTGTTGTTCTAGGATACAGTCTTCCTTATCACAGGCTGACCTCAAACTTGCTGTTCACCCAAAGATGATCTTGAACTTCTGAGCCACTTGGCTTTAGTTACTATGTACTGGGATTATAGACACATACCACCAGGCCTGGTTTTATGCAATGGAGATCAAACTCAAGGCCTGTGCTAGTTAGAAAGGCTTCTACTAATTAAGCTACATTCTCACTTGTATAGTGATAACTTTTTATGAAGAGGTGCCAAATTCTAGCAATTTCCTTGAGTAAGACAGATAATTTAATGACTACCAAACACTAATAACAACTTTGATGGTAACCTATCATGACTATTTTGTGTATATTTATTTATTCTGAAGAGAATGTTAATAAGCTTATCAATTTTATATGTATGAGTGTTTGCCTGCATATATGTATGTATGTGTACCCTATGTGTACAGTTCCTGAGCAATCCACAAGAGGGTGTCAGATCCCTAGAAATGGAGAGCAGATGGTTGTTAACTTCTGCATAGGTGCTGAGAACTAAACATGGGTCCTATGTGAGAGTAGTAAATGCTCTTAACCACTGAGCCACCTCTCTAGGCCCCTGAAAAAATTTTCACAGAAGTATTTGTGATGAAGAATTAAATTTACTTACTGTTATCTTACGAGGACAGTCATTAGAACATAGACCACTAAGAACTGTGGGAAGATAAAGAACAGCCTAGTATTACTGTTATGAGCCTAAATTAAAAATACGATCTAGCTCCCTGCCCCCAAGCCTCCAAGTCTGTTAATCCATCTACTGACTCATGATCTCAAATAGGAACCAGTTCAGTTTCTGAGCAAATTAAATTTGGTTGTTGTTTTGTGTTGTTCTAGGATACAGTCTTCCTTATCACAGGCTGGCATCGAACTTGCTGTTCACCCAAAGATGATCTTGACTTCTGAGCCACTTGGCTTTAGTTACTATGTATTGGGATTATAGACACATACCACCAGGCCTGGTTTTATGCAATGGAGATCAAACTCAAGGCCTGTGCTAGTTCACTATATACCTATATATCTTTAAAAATTAATTAAAAAATTTAATATCTGTGTATATTCATGTGTGTGGTTGTGGATACATTTGTAATACGGTGTATGTGTAGAAGTCAGAGATCAACTATAAGTAGCAAAAACAAAATAGTTATCTTTCAACACTAACTGACAAATTTCTCAGTAAACGAGAGTGAACGTTTTTAAATATAACAAAAGGAGAAGGCCTTATACAGCTCGTATACCCACTGATGAGAACGTGACGCTCATGATGGAAAGAAGGCAGAGATCCTCACTCTTATTCTTTGTAGGTAGCACAATAAAGACATAAAAGGCATGGGAATAAGTGAAAGAAAAAAAAAAAAAAAGAAAACTGTTCCTCCTTATGACTGGTTGTCTGTAAAGAAAAATTTCCCAAAACTATTTTAAAAAAACATCTTCTGAGAATCAGTAAGTC